AACGATAATCTAGGCAACGTGACGCCTACAAAAAACGCGCAAATCGGAATATCGTAATTGGCCTTTTGACTTATCTCACAGGCTTTTCTGAACACTCTGGCGGGTTCATGCATATACACCGTCGGAAAACTCATCGTGGTTCACCGAATTTGATTTTCATTTGCCCCCCGCTCGCCGATGGGGCAGCAAGCATTGTCCCACCCTCTCTTTTTGCTAAGTTAGCTACTTTTTGCCTGCATCAAAATAACGCCAAAGTTCTTTTTCTTTGCACTCTGAGAAATTTGGAGCGCCTGTTCTCCTCCAAAGCACTTGGGAGAGCCGATTGCTGTAATCAATGCAGGGGGTGTTGTGTCCCGGGCTACGGTGACACTGTAGAGTGAGCAACCAGTCTGGTCCGAGCATTCTGGTAGACTGTACTTTTTTATATAGAGCCAATAGGAGAAAAGAAATATGGAGAAGATAAGAATCATGATAGCATCAGGATATTTACAACACTGTGAAAAAGATGAAGTGGAAATCGAAACTAGGTGAACACAACATTCTCCCCCCTCCCCTTGAATTTGGAAAATAAGAATGAAACGTTGAATATAGTTAATAGAGAGAGCGAAGAAGAGATGAAATTTCAAGAAAATTACAAATTAAACTGGATCACTATAGAGTACAAAACGCATGTGAACACCAACAATTACACATATATACAACTGACAATTTTTTTCGAAGCACAATGCTAAGTTCGTTACGTTGAGACACAGAACAATTTCGAAATCATCGCTCAAGGTAACACGACCCATTTTCGGACTTATATACAGCACATTCATTCCAAATCTACCAGTTTAGTTATTCCTGGCCAGGACTATAGACGTTAACACCTACTGCATGTACTCATTTTTAACCACTCACACATACAAGTTTCATGAGGTAAACTATGAGAGTTTTGTTATATACACAAAGTTCTACTGAAGCGCTCAGGTGGTCGCCGATTGCGCTGAGACCGTCGCAGTCTTGCTGCTTGGGGCGGTGCTGCTGTTGGATTTGGTTCCGCTGACCCTGGTCTTAACCGAGGTGCCCGAGCGACAACTGTTGGCTGCCAGTCATGACGACTGCACATCGCCCTTTCTTTGTCGTTGGTATTGTTTTGGAGGAGACTTTTAGGCACAGTCACCTCTGGCTCTGGGACGGTTGATAGCTTGGAGGCATTCCATACCTTGCCGTCTTCAAGTCGGTAGGTCCATCTTCCGACCTGCTGGGTCATGCGCGTCGGAGGACTAAAAGCTGGGCTTCCCTTGGGTCTTTTCCAGGTTTTTTCATTCTCACGAGGTCTCCCACCCTGAACCGTGGTGTCCCAGCAGCCCGTTTTCCGTCGGTATATCTCTTGCTGTGATCGTGTCTCTGCTGTACCCGCTCACGCAGTCGCTGCATCTCCTCAAATGGGTTCGTTAGGAACTCTGTGTAGGAAAGACCCAAAATGCGCAGCCTATGTCTCGGCTTGCGACCGTGGAGCAGAAGAGCAGAAGAAAACCCGGTGGTGGTGTGCGGTGTACAGCGGTAGACGAAAAGGTAGTCCAGGACTGCAGCGTGCAGTGCGCGGCTCTAAAGTGCTGCACACTGTATGTAGGTGCCTTTCCACCTGCCAGTCGGCTTGTGGGTGGTAGTTGGAGACAAGCTTGTGTTTGATTCCCCGATGAGCCAGGAAACTTTTAAATTCCTCAGAAACAAATTGGGGCACATTGTCACGGACGAGACTGCAGGGTTATCCTTCACGCGTAAAAACGAGATGTAGAAAATTAGTCACCGTTTTTGTGTTGATGTTAGAACAGAACTGAACTTCCGGCCATTTAGAGAAGTAATCCACCAACGTGATAACGTAGCGGTATACTGGCGGCGCTTTCTCGAAAGGGCCCACTATGTCGATGCCGACCTTTGACCACGGGCGGATCGCCCGTGGTCAAAGGTCGGCAGAGGCACCGGTTGAAGAGGCAGTGGCACCGGTTGAGGAGGCACAGGCACCGGTTGAAGAGGCGTGGTTGCCGTCTTCACGGACTTGACGGCTGTCTTGCAGATGTCACAGGCGTCAACTGCCTGCTTCACCTCCGCGTTCATGCCGCCAGTAAATTTCACAAAGGCGAGTTGTCGTCCTGACAATGCCAGCATCACCTTAATGCGCCCTAGCGATCAGCGTCACTCGCATGCTTGTTGGGATGACAAACTGCTCACCCCTTAAGACGAGACCGTCACTCACCAAGAGTGCGTCTTTTTGATCATGGAGAATGACCTCGTCTCTGGACAACGCCCTCCAGGTTGGCCACTTGGAGATGACGTAGGTCATTACTGCAGAAAGGAGTGGGTACGCCGCAGTTTCTTCTTGGAACTGCACTTTTATTACTCATTCACTGTCCGTGGAGACGAATGATACAATCTCTTTGTCGAATGGTGTTTCGCCTTCGTCATCTCGCACCGGAAGCCTGAAAAGCGCGTCTGCAACCTGATTTTCGCTGCCCCGCTGGTACTCGACTTGGAAATTGTACTTCAGGAGACGGGTCGACCACCGTGTAATCCTGAGTGGGCGAAGGCCATTTCCTCGGGTGTTTAACAGTGCAGCGAGTGCCTGATGTTCTGTCCGCAACTTGAAGCGACGACTCCACAGGTACGTGTGCCATCTTTCACACGCCCACAAGCATGCAAGGGCTTTTCTTTCCCCCGTCGAGTACTTGCGCTCTGCCGGGGTCAGCGTACGTGACGCGAAGAAGACCGTCTAGACATCCGTGCCGTGGAGTTGCTGAAGCACTGCTCCAAGTCCGTATGCCGAAGCACCGGTAGTCACAATTATGGGGGGATCGGGGGCCGAGTGCGCTACCTCACATCAGCTCGGAGCACGTGGAGCGAAAGCTCGCGCTGCAGAACCCAGGGACACTGGGGGGGCAATGCTGCCCGTTTTGGACTCCCAGGAAACTAGGGAGAAGGAAGGGACGTCAACAAGGCTCTTTCGATGTTGATTGGTGTAGTCGCTGATGACGGTATCTGCAGAAGTTGCTAAGATACATTCATTCACACCTACGTCACTTCCGTCTCCCTAGTCTCCTGGACATCCAAAACGTGCTACATAGCCCCCCTGGGTTCAATCCTCACCCCTGCCCGTTTCGATCTGGATGAGCATCGTGCCGGCGTGCGGTCGTGTATCACTGCTGCGTGGTGCACGTTAAAGACCCCATGGCTAGTGGTTGTACTGCACTGGCTAAATTGCTCATCTACAGCGAGTGATTCGTCGCAACTTTACAAATAACTGACCAAATACACGCTGTATAAATATACACACAACCCCCAATCACAATTATGGGTAGGTCTGCATTGAAAATCCTTGGAGTTTTTGAAGACGAAAGCAACTTTTTCACTCGAGTGACGCTCTTGTCCGCAGCTTGGTCCGAAATGAACGGCGTGCCCTTCCGGAGGTACCTACGCGAAGTACCTCCTGAGACGCAAGGTGGGAAACGATTCGTGCATAACTGCCACTTGTTTTAGCGGCATGGCAGGCGCCGCCCACTCTTCTTCCAGCGCCGCAGATATGTCGTCGGGCTGGCAGGTTACGTCAGTTGTAGGTGTGGAAGATGTTGGTTGCCGACATTCCGTGTTATCGGTAGTCTGCTCACATACCAGATGAGGGTCTGCCAGTAGTGACGCTTCATCAGGCTTGTCAGCGTCGGTATAGAAGCATGTTCTGGTTGCTCCACTCATTTGAATATCCAGTGCTACCACAGCGTTCATTGCAAGTAGCGACGTACCGTTGTCCGCTATATAAAAGAGAACTTGTGCCTGTCTCGTCTTGAACGTAAGAGTAGCCGTGAAGGCTCCCAACACGTTGATGGGCTCGCGGGAAGGGTTCAGCAACGTGTCAGGGGGTGGCACAACTTGGCGTCGCTTCCGAACTGCTGTATAAATGCGGACTTGTCCAATATCGAAACCGATGATCCCGTATCAATCAAGAACGGTACTGACGTCTTAAAGACTTTTACCGTAATGAGGACTCGTGATTTGCACATTCCTGTGATGTGATTCACGAGCGTTGGGTCTTCGTCATCGTTGTCGTCCTCATCCGATAGAATCAGTTCGACTTTCTTGCCCCGTGGCCGTTGTGAATAGCCTTTGGGCGTGCTTCTGCAGACACCGCCGAAGTGAACAGGACGACCACATTTGTAACAGTAAATATTCCGCTCTGGGCACGTGTCATAGCTCTGACAGCGTTCCAACCCGTGTCCGCAGTTCGCACACGTTCGTCCATAAATTCTCTGATTGTTCCGTCTTGGGGGTTGGTCTTGCCACGAGATAGGCGAAGATGTGAATCAGACCGACCTGCGACCTGACTGTCCAGACCGTCGTGGTCCACCTCCAGACGATTGTTTTCGGCCGGTACCGCCATAGGCGGTACAGGGCGAAATTAGAGTCACTAAATAACGCTTTCAGAGTACCGCATTCCTTTTCTTTGGCACTTTGCCGACATAGCAGTCGCTCTATCCAACAATATTCTGGTTCGCTGCGGCATCATTGGACAGCGGCAGTCACGTGGGTCACTATCATCATCATCGCGTTTTCTCGACGCCACCATCTTGGGTCCGCGCACGTTGAAGCGTTGAAGTCCGTTTCTCAGCACGCGCCTTTTCCGTGAGATACGAACAACACGACCTTGATTCGAGTTGATATGCGTGCTTAGTTCAGGGTTTCCTCAGTATTCCGCATGACATCCAATTCAAAGCGTAGCTTTGCCCGTGGTATACGAAGAACCGATGCCGCGGAGGTTCGCGTTTGGATCTCGACGTATAAGCGCGAGACCGCTACCGTGTGAAGCATCTAAAGTGTCGCAGTGTAGTTTGTGCAACAATGCCTGCTTGCTGTGCGTTCGGGTGTGCCAACAGGTCAGAGAATGGGAAAAGACTCTTCCGCATTCCGTTGGGAAAGGGCGCGACAACGAGACGTAAAGTATGGTTAACCGTTGTGAACCGAAAAAATTTCAAGCCCGGCGCGGGAAGCAAGCTTTGTGAGGTGAGTGCGTTTAGCAGCTGTTCTGCTCCGCGTATCGCTTTGAAAGTCCTCAACCATCGCCGACTGAACGGGAGAGCGGCTACTTCAGGCTTTTATTATAATGCCTTCTAGGATCACTTCGAGCAGTCTCAGTTCGAAAACCACCGAGCCGATGGCAGGAAGCTGCTTAAACAAGATGCAGTGCCTACTATTCTTGGCTCCGGGCGTAACTCAAACGAGCTAAAACGCAACAGAAAGATGCCAGTGAAGCAAGTTTCAGCCTTTCTGTCAGGTATGTGAAAAAAAAATAGAGATTACGAGTGGCACTGACGTGCTTTTGTTGAACCGTGTTGGTAACTGACACTCCCTGAAATAACCTTTCAGACACCGTGCGGACAGACTCTCCCGCCTCTGACTGCCACAAGACCTTGAGCCCAGAAAGCGCAACAGGTTACAGTGAAAGTAAGTCTGCCTCCACAGTTTCTGTGCACATCAAATAGCTGTCATGATTTAGGGTGGCCCAACACCGCTTATGTGTAGTCCTGTTTGCTTCCCATCTTCTGTGCAACACATTAACACGCACACTTTGCGCAGGAAACCCTGACGGAGCTTTCTCGGGCTGCACAGTTGAGACTCCGAGCAACACTGCCACGTTGGAAGGTTGGGAAGGCACTCTGTTCTTTTGTTTGTGTTTTTTCTCTCCATGCAATAACCTTTCCAGACGCCATGCCCACAGAGTCTCACGCCTCTGACTGCCACGAGACCTTGAGCCCAGGAAGCGCAGCGGGTTACAGTGAAAGTAAGTGGGCCTCCACAGTTTCTCCGCACATCAAATAGCTGTCATGATTGAGGGGGGCCCAACACCGTTTATGTGTAATCCCGTTTGCTTCCCATCTTCTGTGCAAAGCATTAACATGCACACTTTGCGCAGGGAACCCTGACAAAGCTCTCTCAGGCTGCACAATTGAGACTCCGAGCGACACTGCCGTGTTGCAAGGTTAGGAAGGCGCTTTGCTCTTTTGTTGAGCTGTGTTGGCAACTGACTCTCCCTGCAATAACCTTTCCAGATGCCATGTCAACAAGCTCTCACGCCTCTGACTGCCACGAGACCTTGAGCCCAGGAAGCGCAGCGGGTTACAGTGAAAGTAAGTCTGCCTCCACAGTTTCTCCGCACATCAAATAGCTGTCATGATTTAGAGGGGCCTGACATCGTTTATGTGTAATCCTGTTTGCTTCCCATCTTCTGTGCAAAACATTAACACGCACACTTTGTGCAGGGAACCCTGACAGAGCTCTCTCGGGCTGCACAATTGAGACTCCGAGCGACAGTGCCGTGTTGCAAGGTTAGGAGGGCGCTGTGCTCTTTTGTTGAGCTGTGTTGGCAACTGACTCTCCCTGCAATAACCTTTCCAGATGCCATGTCGACAGACTTTCACGCCTCTGACTGCCACGAGACCTTGAGCCCAGGAAGCGCAGCGGGTTACAGTGAAAGTAAGTTTGCCTCCACAGTTTCTCCGCACATCAAATAACTGTCATGATTTAGGGGGGGCCTGACACCGTTTATGTGTAATCCTGTTTGCTTCCCATCTTCTGTGCAAAACATTAACACGCACACTTTGCGCAGGGAACCCTGACAGAGCTCTCTCGGGCTGCACAATTGAGACTCCGAGCGACAGTGCCGTGTTGCAAGGTTAGGAGGGCGCTGTGCTCTTTTGTTGAGCTGTGTTGGCAACTGACTCTCCCTGCAATAACCTTTCCAGATGCCATGTCGACAGACTTTCACGCCTCTGACTGCCACGAGACCTTGAGCCCAGGAAGCGCAGCGGGTTACAGTGAAAGTAAGTTTGCCTCCACAGTTTCTGGGCACATCAAATAGCTGTCACACCGTTTATGTGTAATCCTGTTTGCTTCCCATCTTCTGTGCAACACATTAACACGCACACTTTGTGCAGAAAACCCTGATGGAGCTTTCTCGGGCTGCACAGTTGAGACTTCGAGCAACACTGCCACGTTGGAAGGTTGGAAAGACTTTTGTTTGTGTTCTTACTCTCCCTGCAATAACCTTTCCAGATGCCATGCCAACAGACTATCCCGCCTCTGACTGCCACGAGAGTAATTTTCAGCTAACTCGTACACCTCGATCATGTGACTTATCTGTTTGCGAAATCGAGCTTCTTTCTGACAGACAGAATGATACTAGTTAAACTCAGCCAAAGGGTTCTAGCCGGCAGCACGGAGACGAATGTGGACAAACTGAAGAGAGTCTTCATTGGAGATTCACGCAGAACCTCTCTGCATTGAGCTTGACTTAAAATCGTGAACGGAGAAATTGAGTATTTTTTGTGGCCTGACAACCTGAGCAATGTAGACCTATACGCAGGGAGCAAGAGAGAACGTCGCAACTTAAGAGGCTCAGACGCTGGTTTGAGCAAGCCGGCCCAGATGTTCAGAACACGTCATATTGCATAGAAACCAAGGGCAGTATAAACCAAGTCAAGGCGCCAACTTCATTGCAAACGGAAAAATGGAGCCGAACCGTGTGTTCACTGCCAAGGAAATGCAGGCTAGGAAGAAGTGTCGAGCACAGGAAGAACGTCTTCGGTATGAGGCGAAGCATGGTTTCGAACGTGAGCGCATGCTGGCTCATAAACGGGAAGTGGAACAGGGTGGCGGCAGTGAGACAGCAGCGGAACAGGAGAGCGTCGTTTAGGAGTGCACAAGAGTACTTTAAAAAACATTTCGTGCAGGACGAGTTTGATTTTGTTTGCTGTGTGTGCGATAGACCCTGGGTTTTGTTAGATATAAACACAAATGTTGATGTTTCCAATAGATGTATATATAACGCATCACTAGTGTCGTCTTACACCAGTCTCTGAACGACACCAAAATCACCGTCCAAGCAGCGACAATCGTACATCAAAGAAAGCTTTGCTTTTACACCAAATCCCACATGGGGTGGGATTCACATTATTTTTTTCATGTTGCGTTTTATTCAAATCATGTATGTTTTTGCAGATCCCATGGTGTCTAGAGATGTTGCTGCAAACTGCCTTGAACAACATCACGAAGAAACAATATCTGAACTCCGTCGTAAGCTTGACCTGGCCAACAAAAAATATCTCAAGCTGTCACGAGAGCTTCAGAATCTTAAAGGTATTAAAGTATTGAGTCTCGTATATGATTGCAAAACAAAAGGCAGCCAATAAATGTTTATTAAACTTTAGTACAAAAATTCTAATTGTAGCACATGGGAAGAAATAGCAGCAAAGAAACTTAGACAAGAGTAAAGGAACAAACACGACAGGACGGCACTGAACTAACAACTGTTGTTTATTATACGAAAAGGGAAAGGAAGAAAACAGGAAGCATCTTAATCAGAAAAAATAGACACACACACACGCCAACAAGCGGCATATTATGTCACGATAAACCAAACCAGTGGCTACGTAATGCCCGTTTTAGTCAATCGCGTGTACTTGAATTCTTTTTCAGATAACGCCACTGACGGTTCGCTGACCTGCCTAGTTCCGAGATAAAAAGACTTGGTAATTTCCGTTGTCACTCTGCCTCTATGTCTATCCAAAGCAGTGACTTAACTAAAATTAGGCTGGCACTTGCAGCCCCTGCAGTGTAAAGGTAGCGGCCCCCCAACTGTGGCCCTGAGTGAATACAAATGCTAAGTCTGTCATTTAGGCAGCAGAGTGACAAGAGAAATTTCCGAGGCCTTTTTCATCTCGGAAGTTGGCAGGAGATGCGTCAGCAAACCGTCAGTGGTGTTACCTGAAAAAAACTTTGGGTACCTGCGATTGACTATGACCGGTATTACGTAGCCACTGATTTGGCCTATCGTGACATAACAGGCTGCTTGGCTGGCATTTTTGTGTGTGTCTATATATTTTTATCTGATTAAGATGCTTCTTGTTTTTTTCCTTCACCTTTTGCGTAATAAACAACAGTTATTAGTTCAGCGCCATCCTGTCGTGTTTGTTCCTTTACTGCTGTCCAAATTTCTTTGCTGCTGTTTCTTCCCAAGATGTTCACCTCAAACCAACTAGGGCAACACGTCATATTGTTGTAGAACTTCTTTTTACATCCTTCAGATGACTGTAGAGGGCATCTTGCTGACGACCAGATCCTCTGTATGCAACAAAAAGATATGAGAGGCAACAGATGGTCTGGGGAGACCACCAAACGAGCCTTGCAACTCCGTCTTGCCTGTGGACACAGAGGCTACAACTTCCTTCGAGAAGGATTCCTGCCCTTGCCAGCCGAGCGAACTCTCCAGAAAAGGATAGAAGGAGTCAATTTTCAGACAGGTATGAACAAAAAAATTTAAATGTATTCAAACACGTTTGGCTTCATTACCAAAAATGCAGACAGGTTTTCTTTTCCTTTTACGCAGGGCTTCTTCGAGAACTTCTTCCTGCAGTGGAGTGCAAAGTTGCAACTGTGGGTCCCCAAGAGCGACACTGTGTGCTGCTCATGGATGAGATGCAGCTGACACCTGGCCTGGAGTATGACTGCACAACAAAGACCGTGATTGGGCAAACAACTTTGAAAGGCTGCAAGCTGCCGAGCAATGATGGCATCGTAACCTTTGCAACGCATGGGCTGGTGTTTATGCTGGCCGGTCTATCCACAAGGTGGAAACAAGTCATTGGTTACCATTTCACAGGTAAATGTGTCAATTTATGGTAATGGATAGATTTTTATGTCTCTTTATTACCATAATCATGTCAGTTACCATTACCATAGTCATGAAAGTGTAATTTGTCAATAGGGTATCTAAAAACTCTCTTCCATTTCAGGGAGTTCTGTGTCATCGGACGACCTGAAAAAGATGGTCTTTGAGATTATTGTGGAGTGCGAGAAAATTGGTCTTGTGGTAGAGGGAATCGTTTCGGACATGGGCGCCTGCAACCAGGGTTTGTGGAAACAGTGTGGAGTGTCGGCAACTCGGCACAGTGATCCCATTGTCTCCTGCCCCCATCCGTGTGCTGTTGAGGGAGAGAACAGAGACCTCTTGTTTTTTGCCGATGCCCCACATGTGCTGAAAAACGTCCGGGGTCACCTCATACGTGAACAAACAATATTTTTGCCAAGAGACATCGTCGAGAAGCACAGCCTGCCAACAAATGAGGTGTGTGTTTTTTACTGTTATTTCCTTCTTGGGCAAGTTTAAGCGTAGCACCCAAAAGGAATACCCCAAAAGCGCTTCTGGTCTAGTGGTGAATAACACATCTTGCATCATTTTCTAGACAAAATATATATTTGCCTTTTTCGAGGCAAGGTTACTTCTACTGTGCGAATAATTGCGTGACTATAGTGGAGGAAAGATGCATAAGCAATAGAAAATAACTACTGACCGGAAGTTTCAAATTGCAATCAGATAGACCAGTGGTTCTCAACCACTGATGTTTCGCGGATCCCTTGTGGATCGACGGAGGTGATGAAGGATCCCATATGTGGCGAGGGAAGGCAAATATAAGGTCAGTTATGATAATTATTTAATAAATAGATATAGGTAAGGGAGCTAATTATGATAATTATTTATTAAATGAATATAACTAAGCGCTAGTATGAAGTAGACTTCTCTCATTGACACACACGAGAAAACTCATCCAAAAATCGGAATGTTTCTTCTTAATCTAAAAAAGACAACTTTTATTGCCGGGCTTGAGTGATGAGGCAGGGCTTCGCGGGCCCTTAGAATGCCTTCGCAGACCCAAAAGGGTCCGCGGACCCTCATTTCAGAACCACTGAAATAGACGATAGACATCATCATTCAGTTCGTTTGAAAACAAAAAAGAGGGAATGTAACAGTTCATCACTAGAACTAAATCTTTTACAGGTCTCTGTCGCACATATCAAAGAGCTGGCTGCAATTGATGGCCGTCAAGACCTTAAAGTTGCACCGCATCTAAAGGAAAAGTACTTGGAAACCAACCATTTTGAGAAAATGAATGTTGCCAGTGCAGTGGCAGTTTTGAATCGTGCTGTGGCTTCAGCATTCAGGTTGTTTGTACAGATGGGGCAGCTCCCACGTGGGGCCTTGACAACAGCTTGGTTCTTGGAGATGGTAGCCCGCTGGTTTTCATTGATGGCATCCAGAAGCTTCGGTGTCGCCATGAGTAATGCAAAGGAAAATGAGCATGAAGATGCAGTGACATTCCTTAGAATGTTCATGAGTATGTTCAGACGGCTGTCCATTCGAGCACCAGGTCAGAATGTTTGTTTCAAACCTGTACAGGCGGGAGTTATTATTTCGACTCAGAGTGCCTTGTTGTTGCAGGAGAAGCTCTTGTCACAGCATGGCTTTAGATTCGTGCTTCTGAGCCGCGTCAGCCAGGATGCTCTTGAGAACTTGTTTCCGTGTGTTCGAAACAAGCATCCAGTTCCTCGACCACTGGAGTTTAAGTTAACACTGCGATTGATTGCTGTGTCACAGTTCTTCTCTCCTAGTCGTCGTGGTAACTACACGATTGATGATAGCGTTGATCTTAGACTTTTTACAGTCCTCACCAGTGCCCATACAGGAGTAGTATTGAGTGCAAGTGAGCAGGAGTCCATGGCTTACCTTGCTGGTTACACCTCACGAGCCATTGTGAGAAAACACAAACTCTGTGAAGAGTGCACTTCATTCTTGAAAAAAGCACCCGCAACATCAAACACTAGCCTGATTAAGCTTAAATCATACACCCCAAACAAAGCCAACCCACTGTTCACACCTGCTCGCAACGTGCTTGAACTTCTGCAGCATGCAGAGAACACATTCAGAGTGAACGAAAAAAAGATCCTGAACATCAGCATTGACAAGTTGACTACTATGGTGCTTGCCACATATCTCGGGAAACCATTGCCAACCTGCCACGGCCTGGCACAAAAGCTTGTACACATGTTCCTTTTAGTGAGGCTCCGCTTTTATCTGCGGAAACTCAACCTGTCTGCGTGCAAGAAGCCAAGCGCAAAATGCGGGAGTCGCAGCGTGGGAATGAGAGTTCTAACAGATAATGTGAAGTGATCCGTGTGAGGTAGCGATGTGTTCATTCGTACGTGGCCAGATCTGATGCACAAGCGTGTACACCCGGTCATCAATATGAAGGTGAACACTGAACTGTCGACCGCTCTGTGCTATTGGCGCCATGACGCGGTGGCCCTACAGGCGTGCCAGTCTTATTGCGCACCTCACCTTGATTAAGCGCTTGGATCAAACACCATTCTCAGATCTCCTCTACTCTCTGCAGAAAGGGGGAGGATGAGCTTCCACACTTTGTGCAGGGGGTAGCACTAGACCTAAGAACAGCATCCGGTCGAAGCACTTATCTTGGCAAACCGCGTAATAAGACTTGCAAGCCACCACGGAGCGGTCCATGGTCCAGAGTACAGCTTCATGTTGATGACGGGTTCATGTATGTTTCATTTGATGAGGTTCCACTTTTAACTAAGATACCACGATTGAAATAGTTTTGTATTGCAGCATTAATTATATGTACTCCTGTTAACTTGAAACATATCAGGGGAAGCCATTGTCACCTTGCCATGACCTGATGCACATGCTTCTGCATATGTTTCATTTGGTGAGATTCCACTTCGCGTGCTAAAGGGCAGGCTCGAAATTTTGGGAGTTGTGGTGTTGCAGGGAGAGTTTTGGCATAGAATGTCAGGTGCTCTTTGCAGACTACCAACATGCTTGTGTGTCATGTCGCCTCC